TGTGGTTCTTCGCTCGAAGCTCGATCCTCGAAGCCGGATCCCCGAAGCTCGATCCTCGAAGCTCGATCCTCGAATCTGCCCTCCCCCCCCCCCCCTCCCCTCGGCCAGTGGCGCGAGGCTCGGTCCGAGCCGCGGGCTCGGCGGAGGCGGAGTGGCCGGCGCCTGCGAGCGGGCTCCCCTCCCCCGCCGCCCCGCTGCCGGGGAGCCTGCTCCTCCTCCTCCTCCTCCTTCTCCTTCTCCTCCTGTCCTCCTCCCTCCTCTCCTCCTCTCCTCCTCCTCCTCCTCCTCCTCCTCCTCCTCCTCCTCCTCCCCTCCTCCTCTCTCCTCCTCCCCTCCTTCTCCCCTCCCCCTCCCCCTCCTCCTCTCTCCCCCTCCCCCTCCCCCTCCCCTCCCCTCCTCCTCTCCCTCCTCCTCCTCCTCCTCCTTTTTCCTCTTTCCGATTGTCGGGCCGAGTCGGGCCACACTGGTCTCCCTGGCGCTCCCCCCCCTCGCCTCCTCCCCCTCCTCGTCCTCCTCGCCCTCCTCCTCCTTCGCCTCGTCCTCAATCCCCTTCCTTATACATAGCTCATCCCTGTCCACCCCCACGACGTGTTGGTAGGGCGGGACGGGCGTTTCGCCTAAGACTTCCCCACCATTTATGATCCAGAAGCTCGACTTTTCCGTGTAAGAAAATATGTTTGACTGAGGGCGGGTGGTTTTCAAAAGCTCTCGCCTTAGCGCCGCGCGCATTCGTCTTGAGAGTTTGCAGCATTTTCGAAGGTTCGCATGGTTGAAGTCCCAGGAATGGTGTTCTGGCACGTTTTTGTTTGTCAGGTTGCGACAGCCACATTGATTCGCGGTGGTGACGTCCCAGAAATGGTGTTCTCGCACGACTGAGGATTGTCAAGACACAACCATCATGTTTATTGGCGGTGCTGAAGTCCCAGAAATGGTGTTTTGGCACAGTTGACGTTTCTTAGACAGTTGTCTTCCAACGGGGCACTTCCTGTGTGCCCAAGCTCTGAAAGCTCTGCTTGACGAGCAGAGGCGTGCTTGCCGTCAGGGACGGCGTCTTGACCGGCCGCGTGGTGGCCATAAGCAGGAGCCCGCAGGAGTACTCGTCCTCTTCCTTCCCCTTCCCCCATCCCCGCCCCCTCCTTCCCACAAACCGCCGTCCTGGCTCAGGGTCCTTTCCAGCACCCATGGTGCTGCACCAGGCCCTTCTCTGCCGGGACAGCTGCCATGCGCGTCGCCCCCGCTGGTGCAGGAGCTGGCGACCGCGACGCGCCACGAGATCATCCCGTCGAAAGCGCTGATGTCCTTGACCGTTCGACGAGGCCCAATCGCAGTCGCACTCGTTGCAGTTTTGTGCGCTGTGATTGCTCGTCTTGGCTATGCTGCTCGCGTTCGCAGGCCGCCGTGCATGGCCGATGTCGCTGCCTTGACTGCCGCTTCTGTCACACGGCTTTGCGATCGTCATGCTCATCTATCTCTTGTTGTGGCAGAGCATCTACAAGAACAGCCGCGCCGCGAGCTGCTGCCACCGTTGGAGCATGTCATCAGCGAGCGGCCTTGCGTACTGGAGCGGGCCGCCACCTTTGCTGGCTCCACTGGCGGAGCCGGCTCGCAGACGCACCATGCCCCTCGTGCCCCTGAAGGCCCTGCAGGCGCGGCTCCTGACGCTGCGCCTCACGCTCGCCCAGGTGCGCCGCAGCGTGATGCTGTCGTTGCCAGGCCCCGGCTGAACGCCAGCTATGTAATTACCTGGGCGCCACGGGGTATCCGCAAGCGTTCGATGTTTCGCTGCGGCAGCGACTTGCGCCGGCAAGTGCACGGCCTCAAGCGGGCCGCCAGTGCTGCCGACCACTGTGCTTCGACACGGAGCGCCTCTTGGCTGCCCCGCTGCGGCTTCCAGGTGCCCCGAACGCTGCGCCTCAGGCAGGGCCCCTGGAAGCGCCCTTGCCCGAGGCCGGGTGGAGCCGTGGCTGGCCCCCATCTCCTACTGCCGCGCCCGGCCTGCTGCCGACGCCGCGCCCGGAGGAGGCGCTGCCGCCGCCATGCCTCGAGCAGCTGTCGCTCGGGTTCCTCGTGCTGCCGGTGGGCCCCAGGCCGGAGGCCGTCGGCCTGCCATCGGTGCTGCTGCCGCCTGGCCACGTGCAGGTGCCGCTCGGGCTCCGCCGCCCGCCGCGGACGCCGCGCCCCTGCCCGAGGGCATCGGCCTGCGGGCGGCCCAGGCGCTCGATGGAGCCCAGCTGCTCGGTTGCACGTGTCCCTCGGCTTGATGCCGACGCCGCGTCTGGAGGCCATCGGCCCGCTGCCGCTGGTGTGCCTCGGCGCGGTGCTGCGGGGTGTGCCGCTGCCAGGGGCGGACATGGGCGTGGTCAGGCACTACTCTTGGTTCTTTGTTTTTGATGTCTCCGGTTGATCGCTCTTTTTCGGATCAGTTGAACCGACTTCTGGATGATCCCATATCCCGCATGCACGTGCGCAGGTGGGTGCAGCCAGGACCTGTGCCTGAGCCGCCCCCCACGATTCAGACGTCGCCAGTTGATATCGACGACAGTCTGGCCCAACGTATCGTTGCGGAAACCCTCCCTCGGAGGCGACGCCTCCTCGACTAGACGGCCGATATTCTATGACGATGTAGGACAGGATTACTCGGCGCGCGCCCCCACCCCAGCTCGATGGGACGCCCCCGCTTCGCTCCTAGTTCCCTCTGCCCTCAGGCGTATCTTTCAGACTGCTGGCTGGGAAGGAGGACGGAGGATGGAACAGACCGTTGGCCGTCGCAGAGCCTTCAGATGCTCCACAGTGGTTACGTGGGACCCAGCAGTATGTCTTCGCTTGAACTGTGTTTTCCGTATGCTTGCTTCTGAAGTGACGGACCGCCTGCCGGAGGTGTTAGGTTTGTGTCCTAACCGCATCCCTCCCTTTGGTTTCATTCCTCCCTGTCTCCCTCCCTCTCTCCGTCCCCATCCCGAGTGGCCGAGTGCCCAAGCCACTGCTATCGTTCCTGTATGAGCCCGCCTGCCAATCTGTCTGCCTGGAGCCATCTGTCGACAGCTTGAGTCACTGCGGGCCAAGCTGCTCGATCAGAAGAAGAAAAGCATCAGCACAAACTGTTGGCGCTCCGCGCGGATTTCTTGGATCTGCGCCAGCCCCCCCTCCCTGGCGCGCGGAGCGCGCCAGGGGCGGCGCTGGAGGCCCCGCTGGGGGGGCCCGGCGCGGATCCAAGAAATCCGCGCGGAGCGCCAAAAGTTTATGTTTACGACGTTTTTTCTTCTTCGACCGATGTTTGAGTGGGGGTGTTTGGAGAGCGGAGAGTGGTGGATGTGAGTTGGATTGACTCAGTCTCGGCCTCGGCGCTCGGGGGCGATGCGTCCCGTCGGCTTCGTCGCTGAGGCTCCGTTGCTCTGCTCGCTTTCTCTGAAGGGGCCCAGGGACACACAAAGAAATAGACACAAATCCAAAGATTCCCAACATTTTTTCTATATCTTTTGGACTGCCGTCTTCCCCCCCGCTTCCCACATTTTCCCACATCTTCTGGGGAATCGACGATTCATTGTGTCTGTGTGTTCTTTCCCTTCCTGATACTTGGCGCCTGTGCAGAACGTGCTTGTCTCACTACCTATTCGACTGGTTGCAGTGCCGGCCTTTGCTGACAGGCTTTCAGCTTCACCAGCGTTGCAATCCAAACAGATTCCTCCCCCCTCCTCCGCCCCTCCGCAATTACGCAATCTGAATACTACTCTCCCCTCTCCCCCGAATATGTCCTGAGAGTGGCCGCCCCTCCTTCGCGTACTGATTTTTGTGCACACATGTTGTGCGCGAGTTCAATTTTCCTTCGTCCCTCCGCGTCCCTCCACGAATTCGTGCTTTCTCATTTTGATCCCTCCGCGTCCTGTTTTCTACGCACAAGATTTGCGCGAACTGGCTTTTCAGATGATTTTGTACCATCCGATTGTTGACACTTTTTTCACAAATGGTGTTCTCGCTGCAGCGTGGGCCTCATTTTCGGATCGGCGCTGCTGTGCTCCCGTTGTTTAGGATGGCGCTCCTGCCTCAGCGTGAGCCACTATTCTAAATCCCACAGGTCTCGCAGGTCTCGCCGGAACCACAGGTCCCACATGACCCACAAATGGTGCAGGTCGCCCTACAGGTCCCACAGTTCCCACCAGCCTGACAGGTTCCACAGGCCCCACAAGCCCCACATGTGTCGCAAATCCCACAGGACCGACAAGTCCCGCAAGTCCCAAGGGTGCCGTATGTCTTATCAAGTCAATACAAGCCCCACAATAGCCCCTCGATTCCCACAGGTCCCGCAGATCCCGCTGGTGCCACGGGTCCCACAGGTCTCGCAGCGCTCACAGGTCCCACGGGTCCCACAGGTCGCACGCGAGACGTGACAGAAGGGCAGACCAGGCGTGAGACCTCCTCACCATTCATGATCCTTCAGTTTCACGGATGGGCGGGCCGTTTTCAACATGTGGCTCTCGTCAAAGCGCCGCGCACAAGTGTATTGAAGTTTGCAAGGATTCCACGGATGGAAGGCCGGCCGTTTTCAAAATGCGGCTCTCGCCCTAGCGCCGCGCGCGTTCGTCTTAAAACTTTGCAGGAATTTCTTTGGTGGAGGGCGGTACCTTTTCAAAATGAACCCGGCCCGACCCCAACTAGGGGAAAGCTTCCTATTGCACGGGCGCAGTGCTTGGCATTGCTTGGCATTGCATCGGATTGCTTGACAATGCTTGGCATGGCTTGGCATTGCTTAGTATTGCTTGGTTGTCTGGCATGGTTCGTGCTTTTCAAACGGTTGTTTTCCAGCGGGGCACTTTCCTGATTGAAAACGAATCCTAGTAGGGACCTGTGGAAGGGGGAACTTGGAGGGAGGGCTTATTGCCACATCGTTGATGAGTCCTGGGTTTTGCACTGGTCCTCCTCCCCTTCGCCATCCTCTCACCCCTACCAGTCACATCCCCATTTCCCGCTTCCTCCCCCTCCTCCTTCCCCTTCCGCCCCAGAACCGCCTTGAGCGTCTGGCCCGCCAGCGCCGGGGTCGAGCTGCTCTCCTGCGGCAGCCCCGGTCCAGGGGGCGGCACACGGAGGGGTGCGGACGATTGTGATGGTGATGATGATGATGATGATGATGATGATGATGATGATGATGATGATGATGATGATGATGATGATGATGATGAATGATGGTGGTGATGATGAATGGTGAATGATGGTTATGATGATGAGTGATGAATGATGGTGGTGATGATGATGAATGATGGTGATGATGATGAATGATGGTGATAATGATGGTGATGATGATGATGATGATTCATGCTGATCATGGTGGGATGATGATCACGATGATGGTGGTGATGATCGCACACTCCCCAGCGCGCAGGTTATTTTCTGATGAAGGCTACCTTCCCAGCCTTGTCCCCGCCGCGAAGCTCATCCGCGGGTGCAAACAGTCCGCATGGATCGCGTCTTCTTGGCAATCGTACGGGTTCGTGCCAGGAGGAGCGGCCGAATGCATTCTGGGCCCTGAGGGTGTTGAAAGCAAAATACAACGTATCATTCATCAAAAACACACTATGCAACTCACGGCGATCGAAGCAAACAAAAAACGCGCACAAAACTTTATGAGCAACCGGCATGGTGTCATCAACATGGGGAAGATAGGGGAGGACAAAAGCGAGGAGGATAGACAACACAGAGCACTCAACATAGTGGAGGACCGTGTCACTTCCTACGGCTCGGCATCCGAATCGGCACGAGAGGTGCCCGTCGATGCGTGGCCGAAGTCGCCTAAGCGTCGCAGATGGAATTCAGCATCGCCGCGCAGACAACAGGGGCCAGCTGAGAACAAGCTAGACGAAGCCGAAGGACCGCAGGGTCCATGGTACCGTCACAGGAGAAAAGGGGAAAGCGTGCCGAACCCGAGGGGAGATTACAACAGCGGCGGGCCTATCAGGGTGGTCAGCTCGGAGTTCCCTCAGCACCATTTTCTACAATTCATGGGTGTTTTCATCGTGAGCCATCCAGGGCATAGCAATAAGACGTTCGTCGTTCTGAATCAAATGCGCCGCCGTGCTCTCCTTCCTCCATCCAGGGTATCGGATAACGGCTAGCACATCTAGCCTCTCATGCTTAGGCTAATGAAACGGCCGCGGATCGCGTCGAAGACTTTCGATCTCGCTGCCACTCGGTACATGGCCGCTTGATTATCGAGCAGCAGCGAACGAGGAGGCAGAGGCCAACCTCAGCAATCAGAGATTCGAATGGGCATGCCCTGAGAGTCCGGATGCCACGTACTTCTGTAGCCAGAACACGAACGGGATCACTGCGCATCTACATTTTTTTGACATCCATGGCCAAAGAGCCCCTCAGAGGGGGGCCACATCCACAAGATCGGCAGTGACCCCGACCCTTTTATAATCAGGGTGGAGTCCTTTGCCGAGCCTCTTGAAAACAACGCTTCGAGCTGGCGGCTTACCCACACAGGGCTTGGCGAGAAGCCGCACTTGACCACCAGTCGTGTAAGCATGGCACATCTGGCAAACGGCGGCGAAACTGCCGTCGCTGAAATCCACCACTAAACACCTGTGCTCGAGCGCCCGCAACTTGGCGGGGTTAACTTTCAAAATCAAAGAACAGTGGCCTGGGGGCGGCTTGGATGCGGAGCGCTTGCACCTTAAACAGTGGAAGCACTGCCAAAATCGCCCAACCCAGTTCCAGCTATGTTGAGGCCCCGCCGCCCTCGCCGAGGGGGGGGGGCCACAACCCGAGCAGCCCCTTCAAGATTAGAACGGGGCCACAGCTCAAGAAGATTTGCCGCAAGCCGAAGAGTGGCCTGCGCAACGTCCGCGAGATAAGCAACACGCCTCTCCTCGGACTCCGAAAGTCGGGGGTGGAGCAACGCTCCCATCTTAGCGGCCCTGTCGGCCTCTGTGTTCCCCCAAATGAAAATGCGATCATCCAGCGGAAGGGAAGGATCGTCTTCTTGATGGGCTTTCACCTTGGCCAGCTCTTCCAAGTAACCCCCACCGACCGCAAACGCTTGCAATGCAAGGCCAGCGCAGGGCCTGTTCGGGTGGAGGCGCTCGGCCTGGGACTTGTTAAACTCATTAACTACAATCTGTCAATCGGAGAAAAAGCCTACTGGGACCGCCAAGGAGGTTGGCGATCGTGGCGGGGGCGATGAACTCGGCGGCCACGCTCGTCTGAGGGAAGAAATTGCTCACTGGCCCAAAGATCCTAGCGAGCAATTTTCCCGAGGGACCGATCATCACAGCACCCCATCCACTCCTAGACGGGTCCTTGACCTTGGACTTAAAGCACGAGCCATCCAAGAAAATCATGCCCGAGATCCCCCTCAACCCCTGGGGAGGCGGCGGCAGTCCTTCCTCGGCGAACGCCCCAGGACAGAACTCGTATCTAATAGCCTCAAGGGGCCAGGCAAATCCTTAGAGGGGTGGGGAAACAATCCCGACTCGCACAAGAAACGAAAGGACGGGGTCGAGTTCGCTCACAGGTCACCGCGGATGCGATCCAGAAGCTCGGGGTCGACGGCAGCTTGTCTTTTGTCTTCACAAGCCCCGCAAAACCACAGCCTGTGGAGCACCGTGTCTCCGCTCCTAGAGCACAGGGGGCACGCGTCGGGCACTAGCCCTTCTCCGCAGCCCGAGACATAGGCCACAAGGCCTGGCGCGTGAGCGCTCTAATGGCGCCCTTCAGCTTGGGGGGGGGAATTTCTTGGAAACCAGGGCCCTGGAAACCAAGTCAAAGCACATCCGATCGCCGTCGCCGTGCTTCGCTCCAGCATCAAACTCCAAGCCACGAAGGACCGAATCTTTTAAACAACCTCCTTAAAGGGGCGGGGGAGGAGACAAGGAGAGGAATACTTCTTCCATCATCGTCTGTGCAGGTGTAAGAGTCGGACATCGCCCAGCCCAGTCTGGCCAAAGACAGATACATAGCTCCCATAGGTCCCTTAACCGATCTCCACGTCTTTGGGGGGGGGGGGGGGGGGGGCTCCAGGTGGCCTCCCAAGACGGCCGCAAGTCAGCCCACGTAGGCCCCCGAGGGGGCGCACGCGTCTGCAGTAGCCACAACCCGCGCACATATCTAACAATCGGCACCACCGAGCCGTACCAAGCAGGGTCCGATTCCAACCGAGTCAGAATCGTCAAGCTGCGACCTCCAGCCGACGGCTTCACCGTAGTAGAGGCAAACATTTTACGTACTGACGCCAACTCCCCGTCAGTCATGCCGTGCACCTCCGAGCCGTGCTGCAGGCCCGCCAAGGGGCCCGAAACGAACACCTTAGCTGTCCTACGTCCAAGTACGCCCCTAAGCTTCAGTAGCCTCCTGGTACGCCTGGCTGCGTTCGGCAAGCGGGCCTTCGCCTTAGCATTTCGGCCGCGAACGCGCCTCGAGGCCCCTGCCGTAAAGTCAATCGCCAGGTTCACCGTGGTTTCGAGGGGGGGGGGGGCGCCAGAGGCCCGAACGCCTCTTCCAGTCGAAGGGAGATGACCCTGGAAGAGGCGACGCAAACCACTTTGTCCAAGGAAATTTGGGCCCTCATCATGCGGGTGATCGCCGCCTCGAGGGCAGCAGGAGACTCCTTTAAACCCTCGACCACAGAGTCGGCCGAACCAACCGAATTCAAAGCCGTGTCATCGATGTAAATGTCGAGCGTAGTGTTGGGGGGCGATCGGAACGGAACCAAAGGCCTCCATCCCGTGAGCTTTGATCAGAGTAGTCGCCATCGAGCAACCCGCGACAACACCGATGGAAGCGTACTGGGAAGGGGAAACCACCCCGCACAAGACCATGTATCTAGCCGATCGGTACGCCGACAAGCACACCGACAACACAACAGTATCGAACTTAAGCCTGAGGCTACGCTGCTCGAGCAGCGTTCAGGGAATCTGCTCGTAGTACCTCAGCATGTCCCAGAAAACTGCGCCTGCGTGACGGCCTCTTGCCGTGCTGGTCCCAGCTCGCATGGCCTGCCTCCAGGCCGCGCCTGTCGCAGAGCGATGCTTCACAGCGGCCCAGTAGGGCCGATCGTTCTGGGCCTCCCAGGACACCGCGATCGGGCGGCGAGCCCTCCCCCACAATCGGTAGGGGCTAGAGAAAACCCCGATAGGGCGAAACCCAGGAACCGTCTTCGTAATCAAAGCCACAATGAGGGCCCGAAGTTGACTAGGACGCACCCCCCCAGACAGCTCCACCAAGGTCCAGAGCTCCGAAAACACCGAAGGGCACCATCGCCCAGGAACTGGTAGTGCCTCATGTGGAAGCCGTCCAGACCGACAGCAGACCTACGCGAGAAACTCCGAGAGATCTCTCTGACCGTCTCGACTGGGATGGCAGGAAGCGGGTCCTGGGGGCGAAGCCTTATCTTGGGGGCCTGGGAGCTGGCGTGCCAACGTTTCCCAAACTTAATCCTTTCAGCGTTCAGAAGCTCCGTGGGATCCGCGACCAAGGAACCGAACCTACTCAGCGTACTCGTCGGCCTCCAAGCCGCTGGGTCCTTAGAAACCTGATGGGCTCTTCTGGCGCACTGGTTGGTGCCCTCCGAGAGCCAGACGGCCCAGTCCTTTCTAGCCCGAGAGATGAACTTCGTGTTGGTCGCCTCGAGGACCTCCTGGAGCCGAGCACCGATGGCATCAATTTCTCGACCCAGATCGTCCGCGGAGGTCCCGTCCAGCCAGGGCCGAGCCACGCCAGCCACACTGTCAAACAGGTCCACTTGGTCACCACGATTGTCTCTGACCAGGGGGGGAGGACTGCGCAAGGCTTCGGCCAGAGCACGAGCATCCTTGCCCGTGTGGGCCGACTTAATGTGCCTCGCCAGGCGGTGGAAAAAAGAGCTCAACCATCTCATGCCGTGGAGCTCAGGGTCACGGGCCCCCCCCAGGTCCCGCCCCAGGACGGGGCGCCACCAGAGGGCCACCCCCTTTCCCCGAGCCCCATAGTAAGATATGCTACTGCCCATCACTCTGCAGAGCTCCCGCTCCGCAGTGTTGGCCCAGACTTTGTAGCAAGAAATCAACGGCAAATCGAAAACATCGGAATCTCCCCTCAAAGCCCGAACTCGAGCCTTGTCCATCAGCGAAAAAACCTTACTGTAGTCCAGAGGTTGGGGCGTAGGACCGAAAGGGGGATCCACAGCAATCGGAGGGGGTTTCCTGAAGGGCAACTCATGCAGGTTGGCCAGAGCAAACAACTGAACACGGACAAGGACATGCGGCACAAAACAGGCCCCCGTGTCATTAACCGAGGCACCCTGAACCGCTTTAGCTCGTCCTCCAGATACCACAAACTAGTCATAGAGTTTAGACACCCCCGTCCCGAGGCACGTAGGTCCCGAAGTCGACGCAAGCTGGGCCTTCAAGTTACTGACGAACTGGGTGCTATGCAACACGTCAGGCTCGTTATTGAAGCCGCCTCCCACGATGAAGGGAAGGCCCAGCACCGACAGCTCTGCCCCGAGAGATCCCAGGACCTCGAGATTGTGGTCGTCCATTCCCACAGGATCTTTCAGGTAGAGGGAGGAGACAAAGGTGGACTGACCTCTGGGGGGCTGTGCAACAGCCGCGACGGCCCGATGAGGCCATACAATAGAGCCGTGGCAAAAAGGGTTCGATCAGTCCCATCCAGGCTCGAACAAACATGGCCACCCCAGACGACGCCCCCCCCCCCCCCCCCCCCCTCCAAGGGTGCATGGGGCCCAGACCGACTTCCAGCCCTGCGAGAAACACCACTGCGAAGCTCGGGAGACTTGATCTCCCGCAAGGAGTTTGTGTTCCTGGATCAAGAGGACGTGGGCCGTGCGCTGAGGCAACCATTCCTTCACTGACGACCACGCGTTTCCGTTGATCGTTTCAACCACAAAAGAAAAATCCTCCAGGGGGGGGCCTCGGGGATCTCAGGATGGCTCGGAGCGGCAGCTCTTGAATTGCAAAAAAGTTGCCCCTCGCCAGGCCGAGGGGACTGGACGTGCTGCCTGGATTTTGCTTGCCCCGCTCCAGGCAACGGGGACTGCGCATAAAGCCTGGGTGTGTCCGATCCATTCTTAAAAAGGCAAGTGCCCTAGCTCATAAGCTTGTCGATCTCCCCCTTAGCCTGCTGAGACTGGACTTCCCTTGGCAGCAGCGTGGCTTTCGGAATCAGACCGTTGGCCATCGGACCTGCTGCCCCGCAGGGGGCGGAGGGATGGCTGGGGGGACCACCGAAAGCCGAGAGGTGCCCTGCTCCAGGCAACAGGGACTGCGCAGAAGGCCTGGATTGCAACTTCGCCGAGGAGGAGCGATCCCCTCCCACGGCTCTCGCAGCGCACTGCGATGTCCCGGCCAAATTTTCGACAAGTCCAGCGCAATGTAGGGGCGAGAGATGGGCCCAAGACCAGGGCCCCGCTGAGCCCAAAGAGCTCCTTGGAAACTGTGACCTCTCGCCAGCGTCAGACGTGCCTGGCGGAACTCCTTCCACACCTGTCAAAAAAAAGCTTGAAACAGTTGGCTGGCGATCCCCCCGCAGCTGGGTTCCACGTGGCACGACGCGACCTCACGGGGTTGCTGTGGGGGGGGTTGCCTGTGCAGCCTTGACTCTGGCAGCCTCAGCACGGACCCGTGTGAGCATGGCTTCAGAGTCTCCAGGCGCAGGCGGTGTTCCAGGCGACGCCGGTTGCTCAGCAGCCTCGGCGGCAGCGGCAGAAGAATCCCCCGCTGCGGCACCCGCTGCAGGGGCGTCACCTTGCCCGTCGAGAGGCCCACCAGCAGCTTCACCAGCAGCGGTGCGGCGGCGCTTCTGCTCCAGACGAGCGGTCTTGGCAGCGTGGGCCTCCTTGGCCTCCTTGGCGTTGTTGGCCGCCTGGGAGAACAGCTCCTTTGCCATGGTGTGGAACTGCGAGACCAGCGTGTCGCGTCGCTTCTTGATCTCGTCCATTTCCTCGGCACTGATGTCATCGTCGCCCACATTGAGGGACGCTGTGCTCGACGGCGTCTGGCTTCGTGGATGAAGCGACGCGCTTGGCCGTCTCCTCGTAGATCTTGTCCAACTGGTCCAGCTCGTTCGCCATAATACGCACCAAATCCCGTTGGGCTGCCAGCTGCATCTCCAGCGTGGCGATTCGCTTGAGCTCCTTCTCCATCCTATTCCCGTGCTTGACCCGCTCACGCTGGATGCGTGCCAGGTGCTCCTCAGGACCAGGCTTGGGAGCAGAAGGAGCGCGACGAGCAGCGAGCTGGGCCCGAGCCTTGCCAGCAGCCTCGGTCCAGCCCATCTTCTCGGCCATCTTGACGAAAGACTCGAGCTCCTCCACCGACAGCTCCGCGAGCATGGGGTCCTGCTGAGCAGCACCGCCTTGAAGTCCTGGAGACTTGGCGCCGCCCTTGGAGAGCACGGCCGAGCCCCCATTCCACGCGGAGCCTGATGGTGCGTTCGGAAGAGCTCCACAATGCTTGCAGAAGAAATGCGACGGCTTGTTCTTGCGGCACCCACAAGAGCCACACGACCACTTGCCGCCAGGAAGAGGCCCAGCACCATCGCCACGAGGAGCTTGAGGGCCTGGCCGAAGAACTGGCCACTCCTCTGCCTCGCGCCACGGTGGAATGGGACCGCCGCCTTTGCCGCCATACGAGCCCCAGTTCGCGTGCCATGGGCGCCGCGAGACCTTGGACTTGCCACCAGCGCCTTTGCCAGCCATTGCGGGAATGCCGTGGTGGCAACTGCTCCGATGGAGCGCGAAACCGAGGGTTGAGATCCCTCAAACTGCAGAAAGATGAAAGCCAAAACGGCCCGCAACAGCAGTGTGCCGTTCTGAAGAGTTGCTGTTGCAAGCGCAGGCAATGCCTGAGCCAGAACGGCTACTGCGCATCTACATGGCAAACGAGAGGACGGAGAAGGCGAGGGAGTTGTACGCATATGTAATTTGTTGCGAGACCAAGACATGGCGCGCGAACGTGACGTATACGAAATATGTACTTGTGCGTGGGCTCCTCCCATGTCCTCTGATATCCACCTGACCCAAGATACACGCTTAAGGCTTTACCGCATGTGTCGTGCTGGAGACTGCGTGCAGTCATGCGAATCGTGCGGCACAAAGCGAGGAAGTCGGCGTCTGACATTGACCGCACGTGTGCGATCATGCACTTGCATCGATTCAACAAGAAACCCGTGCACTGACTAGCGCGAAGACCCGTCTGAAATACGATACGGGGTTGCCGTCGAAGATTCGGAAGTGAAATATGGATGTCGTCCGCGAGCGCTCGCGGTGTAGTCGATAAAGGTCTGACCTTTCTCCGTAGTAACCAAAGTAAGGGATCCAGACAGAGATGCTACGTGCTATAACTTTTATGCGAGGAATTCACGACCGCGCAAGCATTTATCAGCATGGATGTGTGCGTGCATGAACCACGCATCACTCGCGATATACATGGCACGTTCATGGGGGTGAGAAGGTGCAATGTCCACTCGTGGCGCAGCGACGGGGAGGCCGCGCGGAAATCGAGGGGCAGCAGGCCGGCGCTTGGCGCGCCGCGGCAGCAAGCACACCCTAACATATCAGCTTCCAAGGGCATGATGTTGTCTAGCGCCCCATCTCTTGCGTGTGAAGCCTGTTTGCGCATCGGAAGAAATTATACAGGCACTGTTGACTGAAGGGCTCGCATATACACAGAGATCTATGACATTTCTGTCGGCGTTGCCGGAGGCGACGGGGCGAACCGCAGAGGCTTCGCGGGAGATCTCGGGGAGGGCACCTTCGGCAGGGGTAATACCTTTCGGGATGAACACAGTGAGGGACTCCCTGAAGCCTTCATGCTGGGATCCAAACTCAGAATTGTCGAAGATGGCTAGGTGAGCCTGCCATTTGGCTTCGTGCGCGTCTCCGCCGGCAAACCTCTGGACGCTGTGCGGGGTGCCATCAGGGCCCGTGGCCGTGTCCTTTCTTTTCTTTTGCGATAGTGCATGCGAACTTGACATTCGTGGAACTTCAGCTTGCGCTCGATACCTGGTGCAACTTGCTGGACCTCGCTGTTCCAGAGCAGCTGCTTGTAGTGGTGCCGTTCGCGCCTCGGGGCATCGGCGTGGGCCGACCCCCAATGACTGGCGAGATTTTGGGAACTGACCTCGGCGTGTGTGGGGGTGGGGGGGGGGGGGGCGCCACCGTTGGGGCCAAGAACAGAGCTCAACGGCGTGCGACGTCGCTTGGGAGACCACTGCCGCAAAATCTCAGGCAACTTCTGCGCGCGCCCACCATCAGGGGCTCCGCCCTCTGACGTATGCTCGACCAAATCACGCTGCAACATGGGGTGCTGAAGAGGCGGCCATCTCGCGATGCAATCGCCATCAGTAGCTGCCAGATTGAATTGAGGAAAGGCTTGGGCGCGCCGAAATACATTGCAAGACTTGCCATCCCGAACTGCTCGGAGCACCTACGTGTAAACCGAGATGCGATGAGCATCATTCTGGGGCCCGTGGGAGAACATGGTGGACGTGCTCTCATCCCTGGCAACGAACGTCGCATCTTTGAACGATTTCAGGGTGTCGAAAGGGTCCAGGGGCATTTCCGCCGAGTCGATTGCTTTCGAGATTTCGGACTCGATGTCGGGGTGCTTCGCGATCCGAAGGGGAACTCATCGGAGTTGTTCTGCCGCCGGGCGAAAAGTGCACATCGCTGGAGTATGATCGCTCGGTTGAGGCGCGTCGTGCGCAAGACCAATCGCTCTGCATCTCGGCGCAGCGTCCCAGATATCAGAAGTAGCAGCAGACATGTAGACATGACCCAGGCGGCCGAGACTGAGACTGCCATCCCCCCTCCGTCCAGAACGACATGCGGGTTCGGTTTGAACGATGTCGGCGTGGCGTCAGAAACTCTAACAACTTTGCGTCCCATAGTTTCGCGATCAGGGGTGGGGGCGTTTCCAGTGGCGTAGGTCCTCATCTCCCCCTCCCCCAACAATCTCCGCCGAGGATGGCCAGGGCGCGGTCTGCTGGCAGAGCAATTCGGGCATCGGCATGAATGGCAGCCTGCTTTCAGTAGAGAGTGAGAGAGAGAGAGAGAGAGAGAGATAAATATATATATATAGAGAGAGAGAGAGAGAGAGAGAGAGAGAGAGAGAGAGAGAGAGAGAGAGAGAGAGAGTGACAGAGAGAGAGAGAGAGACAGAGAGAGAGAGAGAGAGAGAGAGAGAGAGAGAGAGAGAACGAGAAAAAGAGAGAAAGGTCCTAATGCATGGTAGTCAGCTGCAACTGCCCGAGCTCGCCAGAGCAGACGACAAAAATAAACCGGCCAAGAACCGCGTCATCGAGGAACAGTGCTGAGTCGAAAAGGGAGCGAAGAGTGCGAGAAACAGAGCGCGAGGCCACCTGCGGCAGACGAAGCACAGAAATACGCATCAGGCGAAAAGAGCGGCACCTCTCTTTCCAGCGAAATGGTATCTGCACTGGCCCCATGAATTTCCTGCAGAGATACTGCGTGGTTCTTGTTGATCAAGCTCCAGAACATATATTTGCTTTCCTTTGCCTTCTGGGATTGGATTGCCATGCGCGCTTCCGAGAAATTCGCGTGTGTTCTACGTAACTAGTCCAATGGCTCGCTTGATGCACGCAGGGCGCTTTCGCTCGTCTGGAGCGGACTCTCTTCTTCCCTCGGGGGGAAGGCCAGGGGCAAGATCAGAAAGGGCCGCGGCGTTGCTCTGATATCGTGAAGAAGAGGAGGCAGATGCAGAAGACAGTGCTCGTAGTTGGCACCGCTGAGCCTCAGCGGCGTCAGAGTCCTGCTGCGCGCTGATTTCAAGAACTGGCTCGGGGGGGCCCTGTAGCTCAACGTCGCGTCGCGTAGCAGCCGTGACAACCTAAGGGAAGCTGTCGATCTGCTCATTGGTGACACCGTGCTTCAGGAGCTTCGCGCGGTCGGGCCCCGCGTTCGGGGCATCTCCTTCGAGGGCCGACTTGGGCTCGACCATCTCGTCGACCAGGTCGCCGTTGACCAAGAAACATCTGCCCATGTACTCATTTCAGCGCAGCTCGGCGCCAGCCGTCCAACGGCCATCGTTCCGCTGCAACTCGAGATGGCGAGGCTGAGCAAGGACGTCCTTGGCGTCGTCGGCGTTCTCGAACTTGATGACGTAGCTGTACCTGCAACTCTTTGTAGCCGCATCGCACTTCTCGCGTAAGGTGGAGCGGGGGAGCTGCTTGACAAAAGGCAAATTGCTCGTCGAGGGTGCAAGCCGTGAGTTTGACGGGGGACGCACGTACCTACAGCTTGGTGCAATCACCCGCTTGAGGTCTTCCAAAGTGCGGAAGCAGCCAACCACTTCTTCCACTAGAGGTACCGAGGGAATCGTCCTCATGTAACTGTTATGCGAATGTCTGCGGTGGCGGGCTCGAGAGCGGCGATCTTGGCATCAGCCTGGGCACTGAGCGCGCCTGCGGCCGCATTCTGGTTCATGTTGCCCACCTCGATCGCAGTGTTGGTAGAGAGCAAGCCGATTTGCGGCTGAATCTGCATGGACTTGGCCTCGTGCTCGGCGCATGTGTCATTCGCGCTCGCCTTCGCCAGCGCCATGCCCGCTGCGATGGATGTCAGGTGGGCGTCGTGGGAGGTAGCGCTCGTGGAGACGTGGGCCATCGTCGACAGCAGCTGGTCCACTTTTTGGTCCGCGGATGTGGACATGTTCTGGAAGACCAGCTTCTTCAATCCGCAGAGAGGGTAGCATTGAGCGTATGCGAATCGCCCGCAGGCCGGGCGTGTTGCGCCCAAGAAGCAGACGGAACCTCCTGTTGGCTTGGAACCTCGATCCAATCCCTCGGCTGCGACAGAATTCAAACCATGGGGTATGGTTTGAACTTGATCCGACATGGCTGCGAATGATGACGATAATGGCGATAATGGTGATGATGATGAGGGTAATGGTGATGGTGATGACGAGGGAGAGGAGAATGGGGAGAAAGGGAGGAGGAGACTGAAGAGGGTGGACGAGGAACGAATGTTTGGAGATATAGGATAAGGAGCCGACTGGGGGGAAGTGACGGGTTGGATAGGTGATTGGGAGGAGGTTGAGGAATCAAAGCATGCATGCATGCCATACTGAAATGGGGAAGAAGGAGGAGACATAACGGATACAACAGCAGCAGCCATCAATGTAGTTGTAGTCGCAGGCGTAGTAGTAGTAGTAGGGGAAGTCGTCGAGGTAGTAGTAGTAGTAGTAGTAGTAGTAGTAGTAGTAGTGGTGGTGGTGGTGGTGGTGGTGGTGGTAGTAGTAGTAGAGCTGATAGCAGAAGTAAAGCATAAACCAAAATCCGTAGTGGTAACACTAGTGGTAATTGTAGTAGTCGTAGTAGTAGTAGTAGTAGTAGCAGTAGTAGTAGTAGTAGTAGTAGTAGTAGTAGTAGTAGTAGTAGTAGTAGTAGTAGTCGTAACAATAGTAGTAGTAGTCGTAGCCGTCGTAGTAGTAGTCGTAGTAGTAGTAGTAGTCGTAGTAGTAGTAGTACTAGTAGTAGTAGTAGTAGTAGTAGTAGTAGTAGTAGTAATCGTAGTACTAGCAGTAGCAGTAGTCGTAAAA